AATACACAGCTCATTATGAATTGGAATCTGAAAACATACAGTTCACACATACAGTTAATCTCTTTTAGGATTAACAAACAAATTAGCATCATCAGCTCCTATGTTAGCAGCATTATGTTATCCAACTTGCATGGTCTCCCACATACTAGTAATGCAATACCAATCCTTACAGTAGGGCACTATGTTTTTGGAGCTGGAGGTAGAGAGTTCTATCTCCAATGACAACCATGAAGTCTGTATGGCAAGAGTAAGCAGAATAGCTGAGAACCATGACGTTTATACAGCCAATGAATTGTTACAGGGAACATATTATGAAGCATCAGCAGGCTGTGAAAAATCTTTTCAGATTTTCTTACTAGGTCTGCATCAAAAGGGCAACTTTTAATTTATGGAAGATATCCCTTTGGAATTTTCAGAAAATGATAATGAAATAACAACCAGCTCTTTGAGGCCCATAACAGGAATTCTGCCATACTTACATTGGGCTCCTGGGGGGGAAAAAAGCATTGGCTCCCCTTCAAGGCAATCAGTTATGGAATGGCCTCAAATAACGAAAGGAAAACCTTAAAAGACAATATGATGCCCATTAGCCCAAGAAATTCTCATCCTGTGACTCCATCATAATAACTACCTCAGCTATAGAAATAGCCTACAAGTCTTCATATGTAAAATCATGAGAAGTAACTTCACTCTATTCCTATTTGGTCCATAATAGAAAAATGTCAAATCTCTTATGATCAAAGCATCCCATTAGACACACTAATTCTAAACATTGTCAGGAACTCTGTCTCTGGTTTAGACTACCCAACACAGTTCATCATGAGATCTATTTTTTGGTTGCTAATTTTACTAAACTTTAACCATTTGGGTTAAAAGTTCTCATGCTGCAAATATATATTTGCAGAATATAGTAGAAGACATATAAGGGAAAATTAAAATACCACCTCAATCACAAAATATATGAGGCAGGCAGACATACAGAAAAGTAATGTGCATCAGTCTTATCACTCTCTTTGTCTCATCAATTTAACAAAGATTATTTATATTGCAGTAATACATAGTAGGTCTCAGCCCTATTGCATCAGGCACCATACAAACTTAGGTAGGGAATGCCTTCTGTATTATATTACAGAACAATAGTATCTTATTTGAATAAGGAATAACATTTTCACTTTGTATGACTAAGTTTAATAACAATCATGAAGCAATATATCTTTACTAGAAATAAAAAAATAATAAAGTTTGAAATTTGGAAAGTCCCTTAGCATAAAACCAGTTTGGATCAAATGGTGGGACTACCCTCAATTTTAACCCATGCTAATCTAAAGATTTACAAAGTTAAAACTTTTTCTTCTGTAAGGGTAGAGTGCTGAAACAGTTTTTTTCCAGATGGATAAAATTGATTTAAGCCATAAATAACATCATGAAACAGTTTAATATAGGATCACACTGACTCTTTCTCTATTAATTTTATCATTTTCTGAGTTATAACTGTCAGTTATCCTGGTGAAAAGGCTGGGGGAAGGTCTGTGCCACTCCTTCCCGCCTACCCATCTGTGTTCACTACATATATGCAAAGGACCTTTAAAAAGAAGTGAGAGAGTGAGAGAAAAAGGAGGATGGAAGGCTTCACCACACCAAATGAAAAGCAAACAATATGCATATCAGCATCTTAAGGAGATGTACCACTCTGCTGGGAAAAACCAAGACAAAAGAATTATCTGACACAACAGTTCAAAGCATATTGCACCTGTCAAAATGTCTGTCATCTTCTATAGAAATGCACCATTCTAAAAGAGAAAAGGGAAACTCTAGCGAAGTCACTCAGAAACAACAGATCACTTTGTCTCCTTCCTTCCAGCCAACTCCTCCATCTGAAAGCCATTTAACTCCATGCTAAAGATTGCCTGGAAGGACCAGACAATAGGAAGGTCTCTTTCATTGTCAAGGACAGTTACACTTTGAAGATGATGCTCAAAAGGGGTTAAAATGGGTCAACAAGCAATTGTTGGTCCTATCCAAGGAAATGTGAACAGAACATTGTTAAAAGTCACACACACACACACACACACACACAATCTATCTAAAAAAACACCTCTTTAAGCGAGGGAGTTGTGGGAAGGGGGAAAAAAACAACAACATACATTATTGATTTCATCACACAGATAAATTAAGACAAAAAACTAGTAGAGGAAGTGGATAAAAGGTAAATTTTGGTGTAGATGTTGCATTTTTAGCTGGGTATACCTAAATTGCATAAACGGTGAAAGAAACAGGGTGGTAAACAATGGGGCAAAGAGGGAAAACTTCTATAGAAACTGATTTAACATTCACACTCCTTTTCATGTTGTTACAATATGAATTAAAGGCATTTTGAAGGAACCATTAATTTAAAATGCATGCTGGTCAGTTGCATGGAACAAGTAGGTCTTTAGCACTAAATATAATTTTATTAATTTTCCTATTACTCACACTAAGAAAAAAAATGAAAGCTGCCTGCCTATATGCAAACTAGCTTGATGAATGATTTTATAGCTTTAATGAAACAAATCTTGGTGTTTGTTCTTACTTCAGGCCTAGGAGAGAAAGTATTAAAATTTCTTAAAGGTAATTTATGAACACTTAAATCTTAAATTAAATCTTTTGTAATGTAACAAAGTAACTTTCTACTGACTTACTTATCTTGAGGTATTACCTCTGAATATAGGCATCAATCCTGCAATCACTTTAGTTCAATTAAACTAATCACAAGCTAAAGTTTACTTATCTGCATCAATGTGTGACAGGGGGCCATTTTGGGGCCGAGTCTCAACATTGGCCTGTCCACCTGTCTCTGTAGGGCAGTCCACGCAGTCTCATCTGCCACGACTTGTTGTTCAATAAACTGGTGTTAAATGCGGGAGGCTGCCCATTTTACTGCCTGGATGCCAGGAGGCACTGTACACAACTCCAACCTTCCCTTATCATGTCCCCTGCCTCTCATATGGTGTTATAAGTTCTTAACAGCTCTGGCATCCCTTGCAGCAGGCACCCTGGCACTTTTGACCCTTCTGGTCCTGGCCCCATAATTGACTAGTTGAGGGTCCCTCTGGTCAGGTCTCTGAGCAGCTAGCCCACTCCATCCAATAGGTCCACCTTCTTGGGCCCCTCCAAACACAGGCCTTATGCCTCTTTGGCCCCAGGCCTCTGATAGCAATGCCTGGACCCTCTGCCTGTCCCTACTCTGGGTTACCCACCAGGTTGTGGGGGATGGGGTTTTAAGGCACCCCTCCTTGCCTTTCACTGCAAAAGCAACTGGCCTGGCATCTCTGGGAAGCTCCCCTGCCACAGACAGCCCCACCAGGCCATCCTCCCCCAGCAAGGTGCATTTTATTGTCATACCCAGGACCATGCAGGCCTACCTGCCCTGGTCTCTTCCCTACTGGGTTACTTGTTGTTCCTGAGCTGCTGCTAGCTGCCTCTCACTGGCCCAACTCCCCAGGCCCCTCCTTGGATGCCTCCCATCCAGAGGCTGAGTTTGAGCCTCCTACTTTTCAGCATGCTGTCTCCCTGAGCCTTTTTTCCCTTAGACAAAGATGGCCCCCCATCAAGGGGACCTTCAGCCTTCTTAGGCACTGACCCCACCCGGGCCAGTCGGGGCACCGGATAGCATATCATGGCCCAGGCCTGCCCTTCATGTTGGACTTCATTAGCCTTCTGGCCCTGGCCCTCCTAGATTGACCAGTCGGGGTGCTCTGGTCCCAGCACCATAGCAGCTGACCTCCTTAGGCAGCAGGGGTCCCCTTCTGGGCCCTGCCATGCAGCCATCTCACACTGGGCTTGCTTAGAGCCCCAGAGATCTTAATCAGACAGCTCTAATGTAAACTGGGCTCACATGAGCCCCAGGCCTCACCCCTGCCTGTTCTAAATCAGGGACTTTCCTAGCCCCTGTGTAGACCTGCAAACAATCAGCCCCTTTGCAAAACTGGCCTCCTGATGTTAGGTCCAAAGCCTTTTCCTAGGGGCCTGGGACCCCACTGGGACCCTAGGAACCTCCTACCATCCCCATAGTTCCTCCCTTACCACCAAGGTGTTGAGCAGCAGCTCAGCCAAGTGCTGTCCTTCAGCTGCTTGCAGCAGACTGCTGCCTCAGGCTTGAGAGCCTGGATCTAAAATGACTGCCTCATCAGAGCTGGCCTGCACCTTCTGGCTGCCTGCTCTCAGCCTTAGAGTGGCAGACACCAAAGGTGCTCTGCCACACAATGTTTGCAGCACTGGGACATGAGACTGCGAGCTCAGA